ATCTGTTTCAGCCTCTTCTAGCCCAGCAATCACCCCTAAGCTGCATCAATCCAAACAGGATAGCAAAATCCAGGCAATCCACAATTTAAAAACCTACTGGGCCAACGCCAGCCAGAAACCCAACATGCCATGTCCGGCCAGCTTACTCCGAGGTGAGAATAAAAAAATGAGTACAGTTCAGAAAGATGTTTTGGGTTTGCTGAATCTCTCACCTAGAAATGAGTCTATCAGGAAAAATGTAGCGGAACCTGAAGACCACAACACTGATGACAGACCAAATGTTCACCCAAACCTGGAGGCTAAACCACCTCCATCTCCAGCTGGCCTTCTCACACATTCTAAAGGAGGTGTCAGACTTCCCTCTGGGAATGGCTACAAGTTTCTCTCACCTGGACACTTTTTTCCATCTTCTAAATGTTGAGAATTTGAATATTTAAAGTCCTGAACACAGATTTAGGAGATCAATCTTCTGGTTAATATCTGTGCTTGTACAATGATAAAATCTGCCCATTTTCAGTGGAAATACAACTACATTTTTAGCAATCCCTGCTGAGTTGCAGGAATGAAAAAGTACTCATTTCATACTGATGGTGATTTTACATGTTACTTTTTTGTGAAGGGATGTAAATGTTTTTGAATGTGATGACTGTGCCTTCTTCTGGAGAGAAATGGAAGGGCATAATAATTAAGAGAAGTGTTGAATCTGTAGCTTTAATTTTGTTTTTATGACTGACTAGAGGGCATGTGTCTCAATGCCTCCATGTACACTGAACAGAAATGCTTTTAACCTGCAGTCTGCTTACTGAATGAACATTTTACATCAGCCTAAATGCTTGCTTTCTTTGTACTGGCCTGGATTCAATCTTGAGTTATTGTTTAATAATTATTGTTTAATGTCATTACTGTTGGTTACTGATGTCATTTATTTTGAGTGTTTTCTAATTATTATTAATATAATCGTCACACAATTTATAAATACAATTAAAACAATGAAGAAGTAAAGACAACTTTTTGATATTTTATGCTAGTTTGGTTTCATGTGTGATTGCCAGCATGGTGCCCAAGTATTTAACTGATTTTATAACATGCAGTTTTGCTCCTTTCTTTGTCTTGCTTTGATCACATACAGCAATGTTCTATAAGGAAAAAAATCTTCACACATTCTTTTTACTTATAATAAAAGCAAAATAGTAAATCTAGTTAAAAAAGGGGGTAAAGGGAAGAATTGTGAATGTAATTCTTAACGTATTATAAGGATATACTGGATATTTATGAAACCATTTGTAGATACAGATATTAAAAGTGTTTAAAGAGTACAAGCTAACCAGGTGCAATACCGGTACTTGAATTAGTAATAAAAAAAATTAATATTTTCTAAACCACATTATTGCATATTAGACACTTTAAATTAGCCATCATTGTCTTATGTGCTCTTAGGTATTCCAGTACTTTTCGTTAGTAATAGATATTTACTTTGGACTTTTTAATGCAGGGCTTTTGTTTGTCCTAAAGTATTTTTATAGTCTATTATGAGTACTTTTACTTCAGCAGCTTATCTTAATAGTTTCTTCACCATTGCTCTACTCTTAACACAGTACAGTAAATATTTATAGAGCTTTTATGATACTTAACAGTAACAAATGTCTTATTGTTCATAGTGTTCTCTTAAAATCCAGTGTTATTTAGAGTTCATGCTAATGCTCTTACAGTGATTCAATTTAGTGCAGTTTTGCAAAATATGAAAAAAATGGCACAGTCGTCAGTGCCTCACAGCAATAAGGTCCTAGGTTCAAATCCAGTCTGTCTGGAGTTTGCACTTTGTCGCCATGTCTCCATGGGTTCTCACCAGGTACTCAGACTTCTTCCTACAGTCCAAAAACATTCACAGGTTAGGTTAATTTGTGATTCTAAATTGGCCAATGGATGTGAGTTTTAGATTGAGTGGTTGTCTGTCTCTCCATATTGGCCCTATTATATATTTGCAACCTATCCAGGATATACCCTGTTAAGGGCTTTGTGCTATGAGATATCAGAATGATTTCCTTATGGCAGCGAGGTTCAATCAGTCTGAGGGAGAAGGAGGTCTGCTGCCTCAGAAATTAGTGGAACAGGCGTGATGGGCTGTACATGATGTAGCAGTTTGTTTAGTGACCTCCTGTCCCTCACTGACTCAAACATCTCCAAATTTTTTACAGCCTTGCGGATGAGTTTGTTGATCCTGCTGGCATCTTTGGCACTCAGGTCCCCCCAGCAGACGACAGCAAAATAGATGGCACTCACTACCACTACGCACAAGTACCTGTATCTGTCCACTGTCCCCACCTACTCACCCATAAGGTTGAATGGCCTAGTCGCAGTTTATTTCCTCCAGAAGTCAACCACCATCTCTTTTGTCTTGTTGACATTCAGAAGGAGTCTGAATGTCCTGCCCACCCTTAATACACCCAACTAATGCAGTGTCTTCTGAGAGACAGTTACCAATCGAGGAGAATGTAGAATTGGCGACTCCCATCCTGAGCAGCTTTTCACAGAAGTGGCTTGATGGTATTAATGGTATAAGTCACTGGAAAAATCAAAGAATATGATTCTCACAGTTCAACCAGTACTATCCAGGTAAGCATGCTGCAACAGGTAGATAACAGAATCATCCACCCCCACCTGAAAGATGTTTCACCTGCAAGCTAAGCTGAGCAAGAATCAGTCTCTCCAACACGTTCATAACATGACGACAAGGCAACTGGGCTGAAGTCATTAAGGCCCGAAGAGGTGGCTTTCTTTGGAACCAGCACTAAACATGATGTCTTCCTTACCATCGGTACCTTTTCCTGGAGCAGATTCAGACTAAAGAGATACTGCAGAATGGCTGACTGCTAAACAGCACAGGACTTAAAGGACCCTGAGACTGGTGCGATCAGGGCTTAAGATAAGATAAGATAAGATAAGATAACCTTTATTAGTCCCACACGTGGGAAATTTGTTTTGTCACAGCAGGAAGTGGACAGTGCAAAAGTTATGAGGCAAAAATTAGGATACAATAAGAATAAATACAGTGCACAACTGTACAGGATAGAATAAATAAAATACTATATACAGTGGAATAAAATAAAATAAATATACAATAAGATAAAAATAGAATACAAATACAAATGCTATATACAACTGAGTAAAAATACAACGATGACAGAAA